ATAAGAAGAAGGAAAAATCTGAGCTGGGGCTGCAGCAGGGAGCAAAGGCTCCTGGGAGGAAGGGCAGTGTTGGCAGCAGGGGAACAATGGGGCTTCCTAGAGACGCCCTGCCAAGTACCAGGGAATTTATTACTCCCTGAAAAATTGCTCCTCACCACCCAGGGAGAGGGCACTGAGCACAGCATGTGAACAGGGAGAGCCAGTTTTGTAGTTGTGGAAGTGAAAACATCGTAGCTTCCAAACACCAACAGAAAATTCTGCCCCGGGTCCTCTTGAACCCTCTAAATATCACAGAGAACAACCAAAAAATCCACCCCCAGCCCTTTTCAGCCTCCAAATATCAGAAAGAACAATACAGAAGTGCTTAGTACTTAACAAGGGACTGGAGTGGTGTGTCTGCAAGCCTTGCTGGTGATGGAGCTGGAGGAAATTTGCCTTGGCAGCCAACGCAGTGAGTCACGGACTCATGGAATGATTTAGGTTGGAAAAAAAGACAACAACAGCAAAACAAAACCTCCACTTGCAGAAAGGCCTGAGGAACAGTATATGGATTTGTTCAATTAAAATAAACATGCTTTTCCCCTGTTTGAAATTAAAAAAAAAAAAAAGGAAAGCAATCAGTAACCTCAGTCCAAAGCGGTCACAAAGTCTAAGCCTCTTTCACTAACCACCAAAAATGCAAGGCATGTCTTACAATTAGCTAAGGGATAGCTTAAAAAAACCTACAGAGTAAGGGTTTTTCCTTTTTCTAGTTTTTAAAGCTGCTGAAGTTCAAACTTTTAAGCTTTAGTTTTGATTTATTTTAAAAGAGCACCACCATAATCAAGAGTCTGACAAACAGCCTGGACAAGAGGACTCAAAATCTTCTCCTAGACTTAGACAGCTGAGTGATTAAGTATTGGTCCTGATTTTACAAACATAAAAGGAAAAAGAAGTGCAGATAAGAGATGTGTCTATTCCTTCTCACCTCCTGGCAGGATGGGGTAGTAGCCAATTATCCCCATCACCACTATAAATTTGTCCCTCCAAAGCAGATTTCCCCCTCAGCCATGGCTGGTGTTTCAGCTGTTGGTGTTCTTGATGCAGTTATGAGCTACTGCAAATGGACTAAACAATTAAAAAAAAAGAAAAGAAAAAAAATCTACCAGGTTTTGAGTTTGGCAGTTAGAGAACTCACAAGGACTTTGAAAATCACTGCTTGGGTTAATATTTAATTATTTATAGAACACAACATTGACTTCACCCGAAAGTCTGAAAGACTCTTGAGATGGACCTTTCTCTGACCTGGAAAGAAGTCTGAGTGTCACACACAGTCCAAGCACATCTCTCCCTCTTTGTGTTCTGGGTTTTCTTTCCACAGCGAAACATGAAATACTCAGTGTACTCTGCAGAAACCCCCACGTGGGGAAGGAGTTGCCCCTGTCATGTAAAACCCTCCCCTTCCAGGAGGCTGGAGATCTGGGACCTCAGCAAAGTCCACTGTGGGTGCACACACATGAAGTTACTGTGTCGGACAGGGCAAAGCTCTGCCTGGGAGTGACGGGGCAGCTTCTCCCCATCCTCTGCTGTGGTGAGACTGGAGACCTGACTTTGAAAGTGGGGTTTGCAGTTAATTAAGGGAGGGAGGGAAAACCACTGAGCTCAAGTTGGTGAACAGGCAAGGCCCAGGACTTTGTGCAGAAACACGAGAAACAATTTTTCGAATGACTATGAATCCATAAACTGGAGTTGGCTAAAATTACTCATGTGATTTTGGTAATTGTAGCCAGACAAGCTCAGTTGGATTGAAAAGATGCAAATTTGAAAGTATCAGATGCAGAGGTCAGTGATATTAAATAATGGAAACCTTGTGCACTAATATGCTGAGAATGGAACTGGGTCAAACTGGCTGAGGCCCAGTCTCAGCCCAAATGATTGAAAACAATAGCAGAGGTCCAGAGACCTTCAGCTAATTCACTCTGACAAGTTCACTCATTTCCTTTCCCAAGCCATTCCTTTTTCTTCTCTCTCTTTTTGCTTTAATTTTATTTTTAAATACAAAGTATGACTCTGGTGCCAATTGTTCAACTCCACAGTAGCTCAGCATTTAAATCAGTGGCTAAAGGAGAAACCTACAGAGGGCCTTTGTAGATTTTTGTGTACTGACCCTTTTAATAAAAACATGTTATTGCAAGAATGCTGCTGGATGGGGAAGACATGGAATAATTGCAGGTTTTTGGGTCCCAGAAAGCTAAGGCTGCCTCTTTGTGAGCCTTATTTAAATTCCTTCATACTTTCTCTGTGAGTTTATCAGCAGCAACGTGGTAAAATTCAGCATTTTGTCAGTCAGTCAACAGTACGGAGCAAGAAAACATGCAAGCTCTTGAGAAGCTTTTCTGGTGTAGCAGTCTCTGTGGCAGGACTCACACAAGATCACATCAGTGTTGGTGGTGAGCTTGCAGGCTCGTACCCCTTGACATGGTATCAAATACTGCTTGACATCATGGCAAGAACGCGACAGAGGCCATTGTAAGAATTCCCAAACAACCCCTCCCCTGCCCTATCAGTGTAAGTTTGCAGAGTTCCCTTAGCAACAGGCCCTGCATTTGCATAGCTAATTGCTTCTTGCCAGGGATGAGGATGGTGCTCAGTGAGGGCTGGTGCTCAGATGCACTGCAGATGCTCGGGAGGCAGCAGCTCCTCAGCTCCGCTCAGCTGCCAGTCCTGGGGATACCCAGACAGACAGGGAACTGAGGATTTTTGCTCACACATGCACTCAGCTCACAAAAAATCACTCCTGATAACACCCCACTGACGGTATTTGGAGAGGTTTTGTTGTATCCCCCTAAATGATGTCTCAGGCAATGCTTCTAAGAGGGGGAAAATGGCCAGTACCCCACCTGCACTTGCTGTCCTTGCCTTACCTGGCTCGGCCGTGATGATCCTCCTTTATTAGGGTTTTCTTCGTTGTAATTAGCCTCCAGTTCCTTCCACGGGTTTGAGGCTCAGTCCTTCCCTGAGCCCAGGTGGGAAGACACAGACTGTGCTAAACCAACTGGTGTGACTCAAGTCCTTCCCGGGTTGCTCAGATCCTCGGGAATGCTGAGGCGAACCCCGGCCCAGCCCACGGCCTCGGCAGCCGGGACTGACCCGGGACTGCTGGGCTGGCTTTGCACTCTCAGAGTATAAACCTGACACTCCCCGAGTGCTGCTGTGGAGTTTAACACAAATAAACGTCCTGTTCTTGTGCCAAGACACGCTGGTGGGCTGAGGTGCTGCAGACGACATGTCATGAGGGTAATTCCCAGCATTTCAGAGGTGGTGTTGGCTGAGATTAGCAAGCCTAACTTCATAAAACAATATGAAAATTGCATATTCACTGGTAAGGGGGGAAAAATAATCAAATGAAAAAGGACAAAACCAGCAGGGAAAGAAAATTTATTTCCAAGCATGTATGAGAGGGCTACAAACAAGAGAGACTAAAACTCAAAGCATTTAAAACTATTTAAAAAAATGTAGTTGACAACGTCCTTCTTAAAAATTAAACATAAAAATGTAGAAAATTCAGTTATTAATTCTAAAACTTGCTCAAAAGTGAAATAAACCCAGATAGCATCAATGAGGATGGAGTCCTACAAATTTTTTTTTTAAATTTATTTCAATTTGTTAATTTGTAAATTGTTACTAATTTCTTCTTTTTTTTTAATGTTTATTTAATTTTATAATGGAGAAATGTGCAAATCTAGCAAAATATTCTTTGGATTATAAACAGAGAAAAAACAACCACCAAAGAAATTCGAACCGAGTTAATAATAAACTATAGAATTATATAGAATGCATACAGCTATAAAAAGGTGAAATATTACAATAAACATTGTAGAACAAATCTGCTGATTTAGCAAACTCTGCCTTATAAAAGATGGGGATATAATGGGACAAGTGAATATGTTATGGATATAGAGCTGAAACACCAGTCATTATTTTAAGGAGTTAAATTTTAATCTAAGTACATAAGTGGGGGTCTTCAGAAAAGTAATACACCAACAAATCAGGTTTCCTCTCAGATCGAGCTGTTTGGTACCTGATTGCAAATGAAGGACAGGGTGTGTAACATGAACAGTAGGAAAATGTGTATCAGATATTCTTATTGCCTCTTCCCATATTGCTGATCTCCGACCCTAAACAGCCAACTGAATTAAATGCAGCAGAAGGCCAGCAGTACACAGATGCAGAAAATGTCAATGCACAGAACATATTCCAATCCCTTGTTCCTTCTGTACTAAGAAAAAAAAGTTATAGACCACTTTTTCGATTAAAAACATCCCTTACAAAGCCCAGTCCCAAAAGCTCTCTGTGTTTCTGCATTTCTGTGGTCACAAGGTAAATGTGTTCCTGTCCGCAGATGCTACTGAAAAAAAATAAAAAGGAAAAAAAATCAAAAGAAAAAAAATAAGTAAGTGCTGGAATCTTAATTACTACTGGGGTAAGGTAATTGTCAGGCAGAACAGTCTTTAGGGAACTTACAGCTAAAGTGGGTCAGGTTTAAGTCTCTGGAACCTGCAGAAGCTTAGCACAGGTAGGGGAGCTCACAAGCCTGGAGTACACTGTAAGTACAGGGCACTCCTGTCCACCTACAGAGTCACTTCTGAGACCTCTGGAATTCCTAAGATATAAGATAAATGCATATTACATGGGGAATATTGAAAAATATTACACTTAATTTAATCCAGAAGACACAGTAGTCTTATATGACTGTTCTTCCTGTGTTCTGGGAGCAGCCACAAGCTGGAGATAGAGAGGGTACAAAATGTTCACCAGACGTTACATTTTTTTAATCTAAAAAACATTTGAAAAATGTACTTGATTTTTAAATAATCACTTAACAAGGCAACAAACCAACTACAAACACATAATAAATAAGGCTATTAAAAGGTCACAACTGTAGTAAATTAGTCAGAACTATAAATGGGACATTAGAAACACTATGTTTTTCCTTATATGCTTAATAACCAGAACAAGAATTAAAAAAGAATCAGTTTATTTCAAAGTCTGCTTCTTATATTGAAGCACATATTAAAGCAACAGTACAATGTTCATAAAATATAAGTGTGATGCTGTAACATTTCTTACATGTCAGAATACTGATATTTGTATGTATACTAAAATAAGAATTTTAAAATTGTACAAATAGATACATTAAAAATGACATAGAAATAGGGCTCCTCCCACTGCAACAAGACAGAGTTTTTATATCTGGCACGTATTAGTTCAAGATGAAAGTATAAGCAAAAAGATTTACAAGAATCAGCAGTAACAAGTTTGATGCTCAAGAGACATAATAATTGTACATTGTACTGTACATATATCATATGGGTTTAAGCTGGCTGAATATTATATATTTCAAGTTTAAAAATGCACTACCATATAGAGTGTCCATAGTTTAAGGCGAAATTACAGCTCAGAACTGTTATCTTTTCTAATTTGTGGAAGCTTCTTTGATGTAAAAGATTTAGATGTTCATAATACATAAAAGATTTCCCTTGTTTGTAGGTTCACTTTTAGCATTTTCCTTCATTTAAATATTTTGTATTTCTTAAGTGGGTTTTTTCCTTTAGTGAAGCTGGCAGCCAACTTCTAGATTTGCCTTTTGTAGGAAAAGGTACTTCACAGTATTTACCACTTTTATGTCCTTTTCTATCAAAGGAATCCTCTCTGTCAAAGTTAAATGTTTAAATGAGATTTTTCTTGATTTTTAAAAAAATACCTGCTAACATTTCTTCTGGATTCTTCAGAACATCGGACACAGTTCTTAAGGCCAAATCTTAAATTTTATTGTTAAGAATCATCATCGAAAGTGTCTTTGGAGCCATACAAGTCTGCAAGTTTCTTAAATCGAGGTCCCCAGTTTTGTAGATAGTCGTAGTCCAAATCAGAATCTGTGGTCGCTGACTCTAAGGAGCTGAGTGACCCAGCCACTGAGCCTCTGCCCTCGTAGCCATAGATCTGGATAGAGTCATAAGGAGGAGCAGTTGGGTCATTGTCAGCCTCCTGTATTCTCGTGTTGATGAAATCATCAACGTCCACGCTGTTGGGCGCCGGCCGCAGGCCCGGCCGGGGCATGTACTGGTACTCGGGCTTGATGTCCTTGCGGGGGATGAACCCATTGATGCCATCGGGGTTCTGCAGCGTGGCAATGTCAAAGGCCTCCGTGTCCTCCTCCCCTCCACCCTCGTCATCGTAGGTAATGATGTTCTCCCGCACGTCTTCCTCTTCAAAAACGATCAGAGGTTCCTTTTTCTGCCTTTTCAGTGTCACAAACAACACCACAATGACTAGAGACAAAAAAAAGCAGGAAGTTAGCCAGCACTCTCAAACAGCAGCTCCTTTATAAATAGATTGTTGTCCTCACTGAATCCTCGGTTTTGTTCATCATAGGTGGTTGCCTACATGTGCATTTTCAGCACACCCTAGGTAAAAGCAGAGATGTTTGTACACAGAACTGAACACACTGATCTGAGGCTTCCTGTTTGGGCTGCATGCCACTGCCCTTACTAATTGCTTATTACTGCAAGACTAATTCAAGGAAAGCATTTGTGGGCCCCCAGTGCTGCAGGAACACTCTGACACTGCCTTTGAGCAGCCAAATCACATGAATATCTGCAATAAAGTAAGCATGAATCTTTACTTTCTCCTGTATGCCCAAATCTCAACTCCACTAGTCATTTCCATTTAAATGGAATTTTTCTTAAGCAACACCTCCAAACACATCTTTGTTGTTCTCACTTTAATTTCTATAAAATAACTTTAAAATATGCAGGAAAAGAAAGACTATAAATTACTGTGGGCAAATTGAAAAAAAAATATAATATAAATATTTTCAGATCATCAGGAAACACTTCACACCACTTTCTTAAAAGCCAGTCTTCTGAGCCATTCATCTATCTTCAACACAAGAGGGTGTGAGAGGAATAGCTGGCAGGAGCCATTAATCCTGGCTGACCTCAATAAGGAACTTGCCATCCAGGGAAGATCACAAAACTTAGAACTCTATGTCATGACCTCCTTTAAACAGCATCCCTGATTAACTGATATTAGGCCACAAAAGGACATTCTCCAAGCACACCAAGACAAATTCACTGGTGTTTGCTATTGCACTTATCACAGAGCCATAGACTGTGTTGTTGCAAGAAACTTTAAAGCTCATCTCGTTCCACCCCCTGCCATGGGCAGGGACACCTTCCACCAGCCCAGATCCCTCCAAGCCCCCTCCAACCTGGCCTTGGACACTTCCAGGGATCCAGGGGTAGCCACAGCTTCTCTGGGCAACCTGTGCCAGGGCCTGCCCACCCTCACAGGGAAGGATTTATTCCCAATATCCCATCTAAACTTGTTCTCTCAGTTTGAAGTCATTCCCTGCCACTCCAGGCCCCTGTAAACAGCCTGTCTCCATCCTTCCTGCAGGCTCCCTCCAGGCTCTGGAAGGCTGTGATTCGCTCACCCCGAAACCTCCTCACAGCCAGGCAGATCAGTACCCCCTGCAAAAACAACAGCTAAGAAATTAGGAGCCATTTAACCATCCTGGGGCTGAGGCAAGGTTAACTTTTTCCCACAAACAGCAGGGAAGAGCAGTGAGGCAGGGCCTTACCCAAGAGGATGACGATGCAGGCCAGGATGGCGATGAGGGCGCCGGTGCTGAGCCCCGCGTTGAGCACGAAGGCCTCGGCGTTGCAGGACAGCAGGGAGCCACCGCTGTCACAGCCACACACCCGGATGGTCAGCGTGTTGGTGCTGCTCAGGGGGGGCAGCCCCCCATCACTGATCACTATGGGGAGCAGATACAAATCCTGCTTTTGGCGACTGAACCCTTCCCGCCTGACAAGAACGCTCGCCGTGTTATCTGTTTGAAGAAGAGAGAGTATCGTTATTTTTTCCACAAAGACATCCTCTCAGTCAATATTAATAAAAAATGTATCTTGCTACGATGGCTCTCGATTTTCAAGTGCTTTAGTATTATTTCTACAATAAACCAGTACAAAGTGTCATCTTCCTAATGATCCAGGAGTAATTACACTGTTATATTTAATTCATACAGCACCACACTCAGTTTTAATTCTTGTACAATGATGAGGGCAACACAAGGAACACAGATGATCTCTGTTAGTACCTCCTGTGAGCACCCAACTAACTCTCTGAGAAACTCTATATTTCTTCAACTACCAGAATGACTGGGCCTTCCTATTGCTGTTTGATTGCTGGTTTTAATCTCCTTCAGTGGAGTGGAAAAAAACAAATGTCCCTGATGTGTTGTTCCTGGAGACACACCTACAGGCATGGTGGACAGAAATCTGTACCCCAACGGGCTGTGTTGATGAGACTCCCACCAAAGCAAAAGCCAGCCTTTGGTGTGAGTTGGGAGATTGGGGCTGAGGCAGCCAGTGCTTCCCACTCCCATCACGCCGGATAGAGCCTGGGAAACACAAAGGGGGCTTCTTTATTGTGCTCTTTGTTTCTCAACTCAGACTGAACCAAAGTTTATAACAATTGTAAACATCCTGAAGTAAATAAAACAACCATATCTGTGGTTTTCAGACCTTCAGAAACTAGTTTAGGTTGGGGATTTACTTCACACAAGCTTTTCGGGTTTGCCATGCTCTTTATTTTTCACTATATAAAGAAAGGAAAAAAAAGAGCAGTCCTTTTATCCATGAAGGGAGGGCTATTCACCTCTGGTGGTACCCACTTTACTGCTGCCTCAGGGTACTGCAGAAGATTAATCATTTTCCTGCTGAAGAGTCAGCGTAAATTCCAGAATTTAATAATGCAAATCATAAAACATCTCCTAATGATCTAATCACTGCTATTTCCATGGAAGCTTGTGAATAAATTATACCCAAAGAGAAGTATTCTTGCCTTGCATTAACCAACCTTACAAGCATTGCCCCTGATGCAGGGCAAGGTCTGAAAATGTCCCCAGATTTGGTGGGCACAGGTCAATTTATGGGAGAGGGATGTTTGCACTGCTTATCTCTAGTAACTCTCCCTCTAGTAACTTCTGCAGATCACACCAGAAAGCATGAGTATTTTTGAGTGGGATCTGCTTGCTATATCCTAGATTAATTCATCCCCCAAATCTACCCCTCTCCTGCCAGACCCACCACTCCTGATGCCCCGAGTGGGCACCTGAGCGACACAGCTGTGGTGGTTTTGGTGCTGAAGTCTCACAAAAATAACACTGGGTAGAAAACAGCTTGTTAACTTCTCCGTTATGTGATGGTCACACTTGCTAAGGACAGAGAAGCTGATAAAGATCTGATTGTTTCTCACTTGTGGCTTTTGGAGGTGCCCTTTGTTTCCTCCAGAAGCTTTCTAATCTCCTAAATGTTTACATGCAACTTGTAAACTTTGTAGCACAACTTTTTAAAGGATCGTACTGATATCAGGAGCCTTTTTTTAGGACTTTAAATTTATGGTCTTGTAAGAATTGTGTATAAATAGAAATATAACATCTAACATCTATTAATCTATCAATTAATTTGAACTAATATATATTGATACAGAATAAAACTATTCCGCAGAGTCCTCTAAAATGAGATTAATAATTCATTTCCTCAGTATGAGAACCAAGATCTGTTCTATTAAATGAAAAATCACAATAGGACAGATTATTCTTGTGGCAAAAAATGTGAACATTAATAGTGGGCTGAACTACAGCTGCCTCGAGGCTGCAAAGGCAGAGTGGAAGGAAACACAGGCAGTATCATATATTAGCATATCTAGTCTGTTGGTTACGCATTTTTTATTACATATTTTATTTTTTTCCTTGCATTTTGGCAGCTTAAATAATATTTCCAGTTAGAAATAAGAAAAAGATGGCAAATTATTCAGTTATTTTACAGGCTGGCTACATTACATTGCACAAAGGTTAGACTGATTACATCACACAAAAGCTGAATTTGATCTAATAGGTGCTTTATCTGTTTAATGTGATTTCTAGTGTAACATAAATTTTTAAAAAGAAAAATGCAATCAAAATGCCTGGCTAAAGTTTAAAAAGGACTACCATACATCAAGCCTTAAAGGTCATTTTTTAAACTTTTTTTTTTTACTGTTTATGTTCACTTCTCACATTTAGAAGAAACACAATATCCATAAGAGGTAAAACCCTTCTTTTACCTAGATAAAAGATATCATATAATCCTAGCTAATATTCTCATCCTCACCTTTTGATTATTTTCAAGTCCTAGGAGTCTAACTATAATCCAGGTAAAATGGCATTTTTTAAGCCAACACAAGTTAAATGTCAATACCATCTTAAAACTATTACTTAGCACATGTGGGAGTGACTTGACTGACAGTCCTAATGAACACAGGGGGGGTCAGCACAAGGCAGAGGGAAGAAAACAGCCATCTTATCACCATTCCAAGCCATACACAAGCTCTCACTTTCCCAGCTATCATTGCCCAGGATATCCAGTATCCAAAGGTGTTGTAAGTGAAGATTACCTGTACTGTCCATAAAATCTTCACAATTGGAAGTTAAAATTAAATTACTTCAAGGTGATCTTTACACTTATCTCCCTGACCTTTGTTTTTTGTCTTTTTCTCTGGTGATCTTATTGATGGCTTTCCAATTTTTCTTCTACATACAGGCAAATGTAGCTCAGCTTTGGGGGGTTTGTTAACATCCATATTGTGTAAGGAGGATTCTAGATGAATGGAGGTGGCTGCAGTGTGAACATTATTGCCTGTGTAAGCGTGTGAGCGCTGATTCAGCTATAAAATAAACAATTTCAGGGGTCCAGCTGCCTAAAACCATTCCCAGGCAGCAGCAATTGCTGTGGATAATCCAAGGCAAAATCCTGTAAATATATTGTTTGTGTGTTTCAAAATTTCTTGATTTAAAGAAATTGCAAGCCAGAGGACATGTTTGTATTTAAAAAGTGGATTTTAAGTCACCGATTTTAGTGAGCTTCCAGATTTAATTCCAGGCTCTGTAAAGCCCAATCCTGAGGTGGTCACAACCTTCCAGGGTGAGTGAGCCCAGCCAAAGGGCAGCTCAGTTTAGGGCCCAGCAGGGTGAAAGGCAGGAAATGAATTCCCTAAAAACCTGTGCAGTGTCACAAGCCTCCACTGCTCTTCTAAAGCTCTGACTTCAACGGGAACAAAACTGAGTGGAGCAAACACGGCGCTGTTTATTTGTGGGGTACGTTATGAGGAAACAGTGCAAAAGTAATTCAGTGTTTTATCCCAGCGTGGGCTGAGCCATTATCTCATGTTTTCTGTGGCAAACAGTCTCAGCTGAGGACTTGGCAACACAGTGGGCTGTTAATAGGATGTAGAACGTGATTATGTTTTTCGGATTACTGCAATATGTGATTACTTTCAGGAGTTGGTAAAAAGAAACTCTATTAAATGATAATTATAGGACTGTATTCACTATAAAGTTCAGTAATAGGCCCAAACACTGGAGTTTTCATTAACTGTTCTCCACAGTTAATAAAGCCATTTTTCTTTGAAACTACCAATTCCCTCTGAAAGCAGTGGCATGGCATATAAAATACTCAAGATTTACAGCTGAAAAAAATCAACTTTGAATGATCATGTAAATTATTTGACTTGCAAATGGTAACACACTCTCCCTGAGAAGTTTTTTTAATGTGGAAGTACATAAAATTTTAACTTTTTTACTTGGCTCTTTAGCATAACATACTTACAAAAAACTCCACAGAAGCAGTGAAATTACCAACATCATTGCACTGAGGATTGTACAAAATGAAGGAAAGAAAGGATTGGAAGGGATGAATTTCATTATGCTATTCATTTCCCAAAACCAAAATTATATGGGGAGATTTGATCCTTAAATACTGCCTTGGTTCGTCAGGTACAGACACTACATTAAACTGACATGATAATTTCAACTACAAAACATTTATATCTGGCTTAATTTTGTCAGCAATGAATTTGCTGCATATGGAAATGAAGGATTAATGTAATTGGTTGGAGTCAGGAACCATAATACCACTTGCCTTCAGCTGTATCAGAGCATCTCAACTCTGACCTACACTTATAAAATCTAATCTATTTTCAGTTTGATGTGGTGACCATAAAATATATTTTAAAGCGAAACTTGGCCTCAGGGTCTCAAGCAAAGAACACATTCTTATTTACTTCTCTCTAAAAATATGTCCATGAATTTTTCAGAACTTGTGTTTTACTGCCTTAAAGAGAATAAATATATCCCTGCACTGGCTCCTTTATGAATTGCTTATGTATGAACGAGTGTCAAGCACCAGGCAAGAGCATTGCTTTGATCAGTCAGCAATAACAGACATTTTGTTTGGGAACTCTGATGAAATTATCCTCCCTTCAGATGTGGATAGAGATATAAGCTGTGCCACAGCACAAGAGTTTGTACTGAAATCATGTATGTGGATTGTGCTGCCTTTTGTACTTTTGGTACTCTTGGATTTGTTATTTAAACCAGCTCAACAGAGTTTTACTTTTCAGAAAACACTCAAGTTTCCTTCAGACATTAAAGCTTGCTAATCAAAACCAATTCCTTAGAAGCTGAAACAGTTTTTGCCCTGTGCAGGAAAATGAAAAATGAACATTGAATGAGAATACCATATTGATTATAATGAAATAAATAGAATAAATATGTATAATGGCTGATCCTGTGGGTTTTTTCTTTTTCCCCCCTCCTCTGCCTCTCTCAGCCTTGGCAGGGTCAGTGGCGCTTTATGTTAGATGATCAGTTAAGTTTTGACACTCACCTCTGCCTGAGGTCTTTGCCTACAGATTTCTTACATTTTGCCATCAATCTGAATGCAAAGCTCTGCTCTCCTTCATGAACAGCAAATTGGCCAGGGGGCCAGGACACCATATCCTGACACAGACCCAATCCACGTGAGTTCCACAATGGGAATCCCTGTCTTGATTTCCTGCACAAGGCAGTGATTTGGTTCCATTGGGAATCTAGTCCATGTCTCCTGTGTTCCATAATTTACAAAAACTAGCAAGCAGAGTAAGGTGAACAAATACAGACCTAACAATTTCTACTGTCTCAGCTAATTTCATCTTGGCAAGTCAGGTTTCTCTAAATCAAGAAGATCTCCCAATTACATTTAGTGAATGTTTGGCAGTGGTTTTTACCCTCTTCCTGAGAGATAAAATGGCAGTGGATTTTTCGTGTAGGGTATTATTATGCAATTCAAAATATACATTCAAGAAAAATGAGTTAACAGGCATCATGCTGTTCCAAGAACATCCTTGCATTCCAGCTGTAGTTTTTTGCCTTCCTCCCCTAAATCTCTGGGGAACAGACACTCTGGTACAGTTAATGGCAATGCTGTTGCATGACATTAGGTTGGCCATTAGTTTTGCTTTGTCATTTCTTTAGACTCTGGTATAGAGGGAATCGTCACACAAACCTCTGTTGTCTCTGAGTGTAAAATTGGGATTGTGAATAATTTCAGGTGGTAAACTGAAGATAAATCTTGGTCCATTGGCCGAGTCATCCTTGTCATCAGCACTAATTGTAATAAATTGCTGTAAAAGAAAAGCACTCTGTAAACAAACAGCTCCTTCTCTGGGTACATCACATACCAACAGCATTCCAAGACTGCTCTTGAATATAAGGAACTGTGAAATAGCAGACCCCTCCTCAGATACAAATGTCTGTGATTATAAACACAGAGCAGATGCCAAACTACAACAGGCAATCTTTGTTTGCCATTAAATTTAACCAACACAGAACCACAGCTGTAAAAATATATACCTTCTGCATTCTTACGTACAAAAATGTGCTAATGATAACACAACAGACTAAATAAAATCCTGCAGAAAACTCAGCAGCTGAGAGTTGTTTTCAGACTGCCACACTAACTGCAAAGGCACAGACTGTGTGCAGAGCTGTGTTCCCGTACGATACTGACCCCTCTTCCTCAGATTGCCAGGAATAAATCTGTCAGCTGAGCTCCACAAGCACTGCACTGGGATTCCCTGAACACTTCTGTAACATCCAAACCAGGCTCACAACTGGGAAAGCTGCAGCAAACCAGCTTTGCTGCTGCTGGTGGGTACTCACAGCCAACACCAATCATATCTAATGCACAAAGCAGTGTGTGACTATTGATAGCAGCTCACAAACACAAACACAGGGCAGTGCCTTTCTCTGTGCTCCAGGCATTTTGGCCAAAGTTTCAAAACAAGTGTTCATTTACTGCCACTCATTGGAGCTGACAGGACAAAACTGGGCTGACACTGCAGAAAGAACCGTGTGGGCAGGGAGGGTAGGGGGTAGGGATGGAGGTGGGCAGAGGGAAGCAGGTGGGTGGGGATGGAGGTGGGCAGAGGGAAGGAAGGGAGCAGAGAAGGAGGAGAGCAGAGGAAGGAGGAGAGCAGCTCATACCTGGTTGCTCCGGGCATTCTCACACACAAAGGCCTCATAGGCTGCTGCAAACTTGGGGGCGTTGTCGTTGACATCAACCACCCTGATGGACACTGGGACTTTGGCTTCCTGGTGTTGTTTGTCTGTGGGAGGAAGCAAAACCAAAATGAGAAGCAGGAAAACACCTCAAAACAAACAAAATCCCACCTGCATCCAGGGAAAAATGAAATAGGTGAGGAATTTCTGTTGGGATTTACTGCAGCTTATCAAACTGAGCCAACTGGAAGGGTACAAAATTTCTGCCATTGACCATAAACTACCTCAGGGAAATACTTACGGACTTCAACTGCAAAGACAGAGATATTATGCCAAGGAATTTCTTCCCTATCCAAAGCTTTTATTGTCTTGATATTGCCATCTTCTGCATTGATAACAAAATATCTTTCAAGGTCAGTGTGACGATCAATTGAATATCTAAAGAAGATTGAAAGTCAGTAATTAGAGAAAAGAAGGACTTACAAGTTTTGTGCATCAAGATTTCTTCTTTATAATTATGATTTCTGAATAACTGTGAGTAGCACACTTATTGTTGCCCTCAATATCATTGTCAAAGGGATGATATATGTTCTTTTAAGAGGAGCATCACCTGGTTGGTTTCTACATTTAGAAAAATAATACATCAGAATGTTTGTAATAAGTGAAATTGCTGGTCTTTGAAGTCTCTGTATTAAAGCCCTAAAATATTCTTTATTTTTTTCTCTTATAAAACATGATAAAAATATCTACTGAGATGTTTGTGTTTTCTTGTTTCATATTAATCATGACCATCTTTTAAGTCTTCTGATCTTTGCTTTACTCAGAATATTAATTGATCATTCCAGTTTATTAAATATTGTCCCTTATCTGCACATTCATACAGCTTCAGACAGCTCTAACTTTCATATCTTCACATTGTAATTCTTTGAAATGTTAAGTATACCCACTAAAGAGAGCTTTATAATTTAATTTACACTGAGAACACGAAAAACAAAAATAAACTAATAAAAACTGTTGTAAGAATTCAACCCTGTGAGGGTGGGCAGGCCCTGGCACAGGTTGCCCAGAGAAGCTGTGGCTGCCCCATCCCTGGAAGTGTCCAAGGCCAGGTTGGACGGGGCTTGGAGCAACCTGGGCTGGTGGAAGGTCTGCCCATGGCAGGGGGTGGCATGAGATGAACTTTAAGGTGCTTTCCATCCCAAACCATTCCATGATTCCAAGACAATCCAACATAACTGCAGAAAGTTTGTGTCTATATGTGCTTGTCTTTAGCAATTAACACTTAACACAACACAATCTCTAATCTACTGCTCAGACTTCTATATTTTCAGGAAAAAACACATTACAATAACAGTGCAAGATATTTGTGGAAATTATAATATAGATTAGATTTAACAAAGACGCCTTACAGTATATTTCAATTAGACACAGCTGTGGTATGCTACAGGCTTTGAGAAACTGCAACAAAGCATAAACCCAATGCTGGATAGTTAAAGTTATTAATATTCAGTGTGTGTGTAGCTCTCTCACACTATCTTAATAACCTGCATAACAATTTCAAAGCAAATGCTTGGCAGCAAACAGAAAGAATGCCCTGTACCTTATAGCACTGTTGGCAGCATCAGGGTCTTTGGCATGTACTTTTCCCACCACAGTACCAGATGCTGCATTTTCTTGTACTTCAAAAATGTAACCTGGCTTCAAAAACACGGGTGGCTCATCAGCATCTTCCACCGCTATTTTCACTGTCACCGTGTCCTTGAAGGGCCCATTGCTGATGAACTTGGGGTCAATGTGGACATTGGCTGCCTCCACCTTCAGGCTGTAGGACTTTTTGGTTTCATAATCTAAGGTCTGTGAGAAACAAGAAGACATTGCATTGCACAATTAGGAAAACCAGAGTGTAAAAGAAGCAAGCAGTGCCCTTGTATTCAGTGACATAAAACAAATGTGAGCATCTGTCAACAAGCTTGGACTGAAATGTGTGTATTTAAAAACATAAAGACTCAATCGGAAGGAGCTACATTCTATGTATGGAGCAGCATAGGAAGGCACTCAAAGTATCACAGCAGAGTCCTTGCCTTGCTCTTTGCTTGCTGTATCACTGAGGAAATCATCTGTACTGGGAAAATTACCCTTTTATTTGTGAAACCTTTCAGGTGGCACAAAAGGGCAAGGGACAGGAAAGGGGATCCCACAAGAGGCCAGGCTTCATCTATCCCAAGCTGGCAGGATTCTACATGGATGTGGTTAGGATTGCTACTGGGTGTCCCAAGAGATAGGACACAGAAAAGTTAAATTAATAAGTAGTGGGGAAACTATGGAGATAAGTCCTTTTGGGAGCCTGATCAAAGTCACAGCACATCTTCACTCTGACTGGCTTAAGTGGCTCCAGAGTTGCAGCTCTGGTGGCCTCGAATTCACCATGTAGGTGCCAACCACAATTCCCAAAGTCTGATAACACCATAGACTGAGTGGTGGGACAGTTTGCCCCACCACACACAGCTTGAGTGTTTTACATTTTAAAACACACAAAAATTCCACTTCCACCTCTAGAACAGGTACAGAAACTGAACCAGGGCACAGTTTTGAGTAGAGGAGGCCTCTGGGTGTCTTTCTGAGGACCTGCCCCAGTGAGAAGGGCAGGGCTAACTATGAAGTTAAGTTGCCCAGGCCTTCTCCTCTAAGTTCTGACCATCTCCAAGAGAGATAAATAGCTCTGAAGATACAAAGGGGAAAATAATAATGCTTAAATAATGAAAAAATTATGATTCATAATTTGTAATTCTAAATTAATTTAATAACGCTTTCAAAGCTCACACTGATGGGTTGTGCATGAAATCCCCTCTGCTGCTTTTTGCATAGCCTGTGACTCCTTCAGAACACTGTTGTGGACAATGCACAGCTGAAGAATTCAAACTATAGGGCATGAGGCTGTTCAGACTGAACATAAAGCAACAGTGAATGTCTGCTACTTATCAGCACTAGGCAAAACTTCATTAACAATGAAGCTGATGGTATCATATTTTACCGTGACTTTTTATTATGAATTCATTTAGTTTGTGCAATTAATCCACTGTACAGTATTTATGTAACTCTTCTTGGTTATTTTCTTCCATTCCAATTCAGCTAATGGGGAAATGGAATATTAAGAGTTAATCACACCTTTAGAAATTAAGTGAATTTGCATTTACTAATATTTCAGCTTAGGTGGTAATCCATTATTACCAAATATTCTGTCAGCAACAAAGAATACTGCACATTAGCAGGTACTACCCACCTTCTTTAGCTTTATGACCCCTTCCTGAGTCTCGTAGTCTGTTGTAATTTCAAACATGTCCATGCCATCTCCATCTATGATGCTGTAGGCTACCAAGCCATTTTCCCCAATGTCAGGATCTTTGGCCTTCACTCTTCCTACTTCCTCTCCTGGGATAGCTGCTTCTGACACTGACATCTGGTACACACCTGGGGGAGGAAAACCAGCATTTCCTCAAGTGTGCACTCTGTTCTCCAGCTGTACTGAACTCACTGAACTGGTAAGTCCCAAATAAACACAGTATTTCTTTTACCTTTTCAACCCCCCAAAAGAACATTTGTTTTGTTATGTTATGTTTATGTTATGTTATGTTTGTTATGTTGTATTTACGTTATGTTTGTTATGTTAAAAAGAGCTCTGAGAAGCAAGTCATCTGTGAAATCCTAAAGCACATGGCTAGTCTATGTAACACGACCTCCTCCCTGGTGTTTTACACCCCATCTTTGTCCCTTTCTGTTCAGAGGGGCTAAAAGGACATTCAGAATGCAGAAATTGTGACATCAAGGTTATCATTTATATCAGAATGTTATTAGAGAAATGGAAGGAGAACTCTCTTTCATATGCTCATGATCTGACCTTCAACTCTGTCGAGTCCAGAAGCATTTCTGCCCATTCATCCAGGAGCCATAAATTACACACAGTGAGTTGGATAAGATCTCTCTGCTGTGCTGGCTAAAGAACAAATCTGCTGCTCTCTCTGGCTTTACTTTGGAGTGTGAATGTACAGTAACAATGATTATTAAAACTCAACACCACAGACAAAATCTACTGATTTCTATGGGGTTCCAAACCAAACCAAAAATTACTTTCCCACATCAAACTCCAGTAGGAAAACCACCCACAAACATCACACAGATGTGTCACCTTACAGATGTTTCTCTGGGTATTCAGGGACACCAGAGGAGAGCAACACTGTTCCTGGATAAATCTCTCTCCAACAGTTTTCCTTTAAACAGCTTTGATTCCAAGACCTGGAAATCCCCTCCAGAGTTCAAATAACAGAACCTGATCCTAAGTGTACAAATCTGTGTTAGCATTTTCAGCCACCTCATCAGCATTAATAAACTGGGGAGGGAAAAAAAAAAGAAAAAAGCATGAGAAAACAAAATGATCTAATTTATTCCCCTCCATAATTGCTGGTTTTTTGCTACATGAGCACCCTTGGAACATCAGGAGACTTACACCAGGCAGGGACTTGGCTTATTACCCATGAAAACAATTGGCATGTCATTGAAATAGGTCATTAACTCCAGTCACAAAAAACCCAAAATTCAAGCACTCAATAACTCATTAATGGTTTGAGCAATGAGCATTAAAAAAAAAAAAAAAAAAAAAAAAAAAAAAAAAAAGAAAAAAAGAAAATAAGAATAAAAAAATCAGTCACTTTTTTGCTTGTACAGACAGGTAAAATCCTGGTTTTCACTCAAAACACATTCCCAATCCAGGTTTTAATTTGGGGGAGAATTATTAAGTAGAATAACTTTTATTAGGCATTTCTGATAATTTTAAATGTTCTTCCAAAATACCCACTAAAGTGGCTTGAATTTGCAGAAAAAAATCCATCATTTGATGGAGTTAACAAAAGGCCATCCACTGGGGTCCCAGATCATGACCTGGAGTGAAAAGACACATCTGTAAGGTATGTGAAACCTGACATTTTTGGATTTAATATGTTTCTCTGAGAATGGTAGATAATTCTGACACAGATTTTTCATTTAGGAACCACCTATGTCACTTCAGCTCTCGTATGAAGGTCCAGGAAGCTGCAGCATTGGAGGACGAGAAGTTGCAGAGTTGATCATGTCCAGAGCGTATCATAACTGTTGCTCAGAGCAGAATCGGGGTGGGCTGGGTTGGTGCTTACAATGCACTCCAAAAAATCCCTACAGTCACGCAGAGATGAGATGGAGAACAGATGTGTGAGTCCATTAATGTGCTTCCTCCCAGCTGTGCAGACTGAATCTGTTAATGTCAGCCCTGGTTAATTTTATGGGTGAAAAATAAATAGCACAGGTATAAAAAAATTACTTAATTTGACCACCGGAAATGGATTCCAATGATTTAAAAATGTAATTGTGCCAAGTTTAGTTTGCTTTGCCATGGTAAATAGAAGCCTTGAGGAATATCCAGTCTTTTATCCTTGAGGACATTCCCTATTCACCAGGAGTGTTTACAGAAGTAAAGGATGATGCATCCACACTTAAAATGCAAAGCTAGTGAAATAAAAACAATGCCACACATTCACTTCCAGGTTTGTCAAAGACCTGAAAGGGCACAATCAGGAGCTGTTGGCAGATCATGCAACATTATCATCAAGGAGTAAGAAAATAGGAGCCTCCAAGCCTGTGAATACAGCTGTAAGAAGCTAAAGTAGATCTGCTTTCCTTTGGCATCTTCATCAAACCGCAAAGTGGATTCATTCACTGAAAATGACCATCCAAACTCTGAAGGCAAATATCTGGTAACTTGGAGCAGTGAAAGGCACAATGTGGGGCCACTTGCAGACTCCTTTCAGACACTGCCAGTCTAGGAGGAGAGCTTTCTGCAGACACAGTGTGACTGCTGCGTCCTGCACCCCCAGCTCAGGAGGATCTGTTCCTGCACAACACCTGCAGGGCTTTTGTTTTAACTTCCTCCTATTTCTGTGCAAAGATTCCTTGAAGTTCCTGTGGTCTGAACAGAGCAATAAACACCACTTGCTTTTTTTAAAGTGCCTTTTACATCCATGCTGTAAATATGAAAATGGGAAAGGAAGTAAACCTGCTTATCCCAGCACTGCTGAAGGGCAGGTACATGTTCCATATTTTGGACTGATTTGGTTTAATGCACAAGAGAGACCTCAAGAAATGGGGCTTCTTCCTTCATTAACAGAGAAGTCCACACTATGTCTCCTTGCTAATATAACAGTTACATCACAATGTCCAGTAGTTCCAAAAATGAAGTGGAGGGTTAGGAATCTTTGTCATCTAATCCTGACCTTAAAAATGTCTTCACTTTGCAACACAAAGCAAATAATCCAGACAAAAATAATCCAGACACTAAAGATCCATATAATTCCTAGTAAAAAATGTGTAACTAATGCTTCTTTATTCATGTGTGCTGCAATAATCCAGCAGTCACTGTTTGCTCAAGCTTTGCATATGTCTGATACTACACAAATGGGGGAACAATATAAAATGTGAGCAAGGATCTTGTTCTTACTTTGTGGGAACTTTGGTGGGTTGTCATTGACATCTGTAAGTGTAATTGTCACTTTGGTTGTCCCTGAGAGGCCTCCCATGTGTCCTCCCATGTCTTTCGCCTGTATTACGACGTGATACTCTTCCTTGGCTTCTCTGTCCATATTGGGAAGGGCAGTTCGGATAATTCCTGGAAATACAGAGAAAGTGCGGCACATGCAAGTTTTCACAGGTTCACTCATGAAAAACTGGATGCTGCATAAAACACAGCAATATTTGCAGTGATGGTGCAGATTTGGTTTTCCCTACACTGTGCATTTTACTGTGTAAGGAAAGTAGCCCAAATATTTGACACAGGGCAACCCTGGAGAATTACAGTTCAGCACAGAAACAGCCATTTCTGTCACACCATCTCATACCCCAAAGAAATAGCAGATATACCCAGCTGTGCTGCCTCAGTCAATACATTTAGCTCATTTTGAGGCATTCTGCTTACGAGGTCCTACTCAAATAAACTGCTCAATAATACCTGTCTGAGCTTCCACTGAGAAGTACGGCTGCCCTTCCAGGATGCTGTAAACCAGTTTGGCACTGTTCCCATAGGTAGGATCATCAGCATCTGAAGCTGTTACCTGAATAACTGATGTACCTAAAAGGGGAAAGCAAACACAGGAGGAGTCCAGTCAGAAGCAAACTTGTCTGTAAGAGCTGTGCAGAGATGCTTTCAGTCGTTCAGCATAACTACGGCTGAACTTTTTTATTTCCACATTTGGGAAATGAAAAAGAAAATTTCTTGACAATTTCTATATGGCAAAATAGACTCATACAATCCAAACAGATTTGTCACCAGCTGTGATGTGGATTAATGTTCTGAACAGTGAAGGGTATAAAAGTCAGCAGTCACTCTGTACCATTATGGTTTCTTTCCTCAGTAGTTTAAGCTGTATATTGCTTTTGTCGTTAGAGAGCCAAGCAATAGAGTTTTCTTTTTATGTTTTACTCAGTAAGTTTTCAGAGAAATCATTCCTGTAGAAATGTCTGAGACAAACACAAGCTCAAAGAGAAGATGAAAATGGAATAGAGAGCGTGGCAGTAACTCCTTAGCTTTATTACACAGTTCTACCAGGGGAATGATCTTGATGTTTACCCCAGAGGATTCACACCCCATAAATTCCAGGGACTCTCATGCTCCCTCCTAGGAGGAGACAGTCCTGTTCTAGGAACCATCCAGAGACACTTCAATTCTGATAGTTGGGAGCTGTGCAGGGTTTGATTTTGTCAGCAAATCGGAGACTTTGACTGAGTCACTGGCTGAGCATGAAGTAAATTTTACTTCCCAAAATTCTTGACAAAAAAAATTAAATAAAGTCAAGACATCCTGACATTGCAACACTTTCCATAAGGCCAGGAACTGCAGTGCAGTTCTGAGTACTCACCTACATTTGATCTCTCTGGCACATTGGCATGGTAGTTTTCATGAAGAAACTCGGGTGGGTTGTCATTTATATCTTGCACTTTGACAATGAATTCAGAGGGTGGTTCCAAGGGTCTGTTGGTGTTCCTGTCCACAGCCTGTGCCGTGAGGGTGTACTGAGCTCTCTCCTCCCGGTCCAGTGTCTTTGTTGCATGGATGTTCCCTGATTTGTCATCAATAACAAAAATGATTCCTGCTCCTTCACCTGAGAGAATGTATTTAATGTTTCCATCTCCAGAATCAATATCTGAATGAAGCTACAAAATGAGAAACAGACATACCTTAACAGAGTGCCACATTTCATGGATGTGCTTATGAAACAAAAAGGTTCAGGAAAATACTATCATTTCAGAGTTTTTAAAAACCTTGTCTAGCACCAGGCAATAATCCACACTGGGGCACATGCTGTGACCTCATCTACCCTGCACTAGGGGTAGCTGCCAGCCCAGACCTGCATCCTGACACACAGACTGCTGCTGAGACCCAAGCCTTCAGATTTAAGATTTAAAGAAGAGAATACACGAGAAGATAATTATGGCAGGTTCTTTTTTCAAACCCAGTTGGAGGAAAGAGTCATTTTTACAAACTTTTTTGTATACTTCATACAAATCATATTCTACTGGGTTGCATGTGAAAAGCTGTTAAGTGATAAATGGGATGCAACCAGTGAGCTCAGCAGTGTGCCCAGGTGGGCAAAGGGGTCCTGGCTTCTATCAAGAATAGTGTGACCAGCAGGCAGTGATTGTCCCCTGTGCTGGCACTGCTGAGGCCCTCGAGTGCTGTGCCCAGTTCAGAGCCCTCACAACAATAAGGACACTGAGGGGCTGGAGCATGGGCAGGGAAGGGAACGGAGCTGGGAAGGGGCTGGAGCAGCAGGAGGGGCTGAGGGAGCTGGGGGGGCTCAACCTGGAGAAAAGGAGGCTCAGGGGGGACCTTCTGGCTCTGCAATCCCTGACAGGAGGGGGGAGCCGGGGGGGGTGTCGGGCTCTGCTCCCAGGGAACAGGGACAGGAGGAGAGGGAACGGCCTCAGGCTGTGCCAGGGGAGGGGCAGGGGGGACATCAGGAGGAATTTCTCATGGAAAGGGTGGTCAGGCACTGGCAGGGGCTGCTCAGGGAGGTTTGGAGTGCCCAGCCCTGGAGGTGCCCAAGGCAGGCCTGGCCGTGGCACTCAGTGCTCTGGGCTGGGGACAGGGTGGGGATGGGGACAGGGGGGATCCATGGGCTGGGAGGGCTTTTCCAACATTAATGATTCTCTAATTCTGTGATTGCCAACTAGTTTTTAATTACAGCCTCTTTAATATAAAAGAAGCTGCAAATTCTTACTAGCACTCTTTCTTCTGCAACCAATGCACACTTCACTTTGATGGATGAGGGAAACATTGAGCCAAATTACAGATTTATTGATTTTATATTGACATCCACAAATTACTAACACTAACCACCTTTTAAACCAGGCTATCAGAATGGTATTTGCTGACACTGATCCTGTTTCCCCACTCTTTTTGTGCTAGTGTTAAGTCAACAGAGTTCTGCTGACTATTTAAAGACTGGCAAATATACTGGTTTATTTAGCTATTCATATTGTGCTAGTGTTAGACAGTAGCAGAATAAAAAATTAGTGCAGGATGTGTGTACATACACATGTGCACAAGATATATCTCGCTCTATACACACCCCTCCATATGTTTGATTTTACTGATGATAACTTGAAAACGAAATGGTGAGAGGATACCTATTGAGCAGGACACTTTTACTGAGCTGCTGGGTTGGACATTACATGTTTCATTCCTACTTTTAAAGTCCCAAGAATGATAACAGGTACTCTTGGGACATATTGTTGGGACATATTGTTCTTGCTGGTTTGCCAAGTAACAGCTCGCACACCTTCATGCAAGGACTGCTGAGGTCAATGGAAATATTTGTATTGACTTAGGGAGCATTTTTCTTAATACCTATACTGAGCTATAAGAAAGCGAGTCTAGGTGAATAAGTAGCTGATGAAGAAGCAGCTAAGACAACACAAAGGTAAAAGCAAGAAGAAACAACAGCAAGAAAAAACCCACAACACACAAAATAACAATATAAATTAATAATATTAATTGACGACAGAGAAAGAAATTCTTTCTTACCCTTCCCACGAGCACAGGATCTGGTCCTGTGTACTCTTCTATCACAAAGAACTGGTTCCACACCCAGCCTCTCTTGGAGCGGTGCAGGACTTGCCCCTCCTTGCCTTTCTCGCGGTGCCCGTGGAGCGAGGGCCGGGACTGCATCAGGGGCCCCGTGCTCAGGGCATGGCTGTACCACAACATGCCCAGGCACAGCAGAGCAGCCTGTAAACAACTGTCCTCCTTCATTTTTGGTTATTCTGTAGGCACAGGAGTATCCAAGAATCTACCCCTTCTACCTTGCAACTCAAGAAGTTTGAGGCTGCTGAAAAGTGTCACACAGATTGTTGTGCACATGGGATGCCACCACACATTAAACACATCACTTTAGTGCTCTGCAGCTTCCCAATTTAATTCCTGAAAGAAAGCAAAATGGAGAAGATTGTCACTTCTTTAGAGAAGTCTTTGAGGATGCAGTAGTTTTTTTATTAAGCGAAATAAAACTAGCACTTCCTTAGTAAATGTCAAGATAAGAAGACTAAAATAAATCAATAATTATGAAATATGGAGTAATGAGCATATTTGGCGCTTTGTTACATGGAACTACCACCTTGTAGAATCTCCTGACTGGCTGGTTTGGACAGTCACTGGCTGGAAGTCGAAAGATAGGGAATCATATTCTCTCATGATCCTTTCAAATAGATTTAACCCAAGATGCAAGGTAACTGTAGAAATACCTAATTTATGTCTAATCCCTCTTTGGAGCTTAGATATAAGCCTGAGATATCAGCTGTTAAGCCACAGGTCTGGATTTAAGGGAGATACCGAGACTTATCAAGGATGCAAGATCTCTGCATGATCTACAGATTGCCATGATTTTTCCAGGCACCCCCTGTTTTTCCCCAGGCAGGAGCAGCGGCTGACAGAGCTCCGAGGACCTACAGTTTGGATTTAGAGCCCTGATGCACCTCTAAGGTTCGAGCCATCAGAGGGGAGAAGCAGCACTGATTGCCAAGTCTGCCGGCTTTGGGCTGGTGAGAGTAAGTGCCACAAACCAATAAAAACTTAATAAGATATTTTTGATAATGTAACAATTGATTTAACTATTTATTTCTAGTACTATATTAATGTCTTCCTTTCTAATGCTTCTTAAAACACTAGGGCAGAATTAATATTTGAAGGAGAAATTGCATAATACAGTGAAACCTGAACTAAGGTCTAAACCTCCAGCAGCTCCCAATCCATCACAAAGGCCACTTTGACTTATCCCTGGGGTTTCCAATATATTCTCCTTGAATATTTATGGAACAACCAATTTTACAAGCTCCCTATGATGTTTCTTTCAGCTTCCAGTGTAATTCACTTTGTTCTTCCGCAAAATACTAACAAAACATTTGATGTTATATTCGTACAGGCAAATGTATAAACACGTGCTACCATCAGCTTTAAAAGAGAACTATTTTTTAACAAGAAATAAGATCATACACGTGGTATTTGCAGCAGTGAAAATGTGAATAGAGGGAAAAGCTTGAACCTACACCCCAATCTATAACTCCAGCAACAGAAAACCATCTCACTGGCACCAAACCCATCAACTGGGGTGAGGTCTGTCCCACCTCCTGAGCAGTCGTGCCCTCCTGCCCACATCCCTTTGCACAGTTACATAAAAAGACCCAAAAAGGGGGTCAGAAGTAAGAGATTAAATATCTGGATTTATTTCCTCAAAAAAGACAAGTTTTCAATTTTATGTCATTGAAAACTGAAATAACCTCAATTACAAGACCACAGTGGCTCCAGCATAATGAATTCAATGACATTCACCCAGAGAGGTGAGAACATACTCTGGCTTTCAGAAGCATATTTATTAAGTATATTTGTTGTGTCCATTTAATTTTTTACTATTGTTATATGATGGCACATTACAGATTACTCATAGTAGCATGGAAGACACGAAAAAGAAAACAATCTCTATTATTTTGCCCAGGAAAATGTTTTTATTTTCACATGATACATGTGTGTGAAATTTGGAGCATTAGATCTGTGGGGTTTATTTTGTATCATCTCCATTTTGTTGAGAGGTAAAAACAATTTAAGACTTAAAGGGCCTGAGAAACTGAGATTTCAACTATTTTTGCGGTGTCTTAAAGATTAAGTCTTTCAACACTAGTGATTATAGTGTCTTTCAATGATAATGGTTAATTCTGAGAGGAAAGGACACTCCTTTTCCCACACAGATTTGCACAGAAAAAATCAAATTGAAGCCCCAGGTATGCAGCATTTACTTACCAAGCTTCCCCAGCACTGAACTTTATTAAACATAGTACATCTTTATAAACACAACCCATCAAATTCTCTGCTCATCCCACAGGTGTAAACTGAGTTACTCTGTCCTGTGCATAAACACCTTCTGTTTTACATCCTTGTGGAAATGTGATTCCCAGCACCTGAGGTAACCCCCTTTGGCTGCTTTGTCTACGGAGATTTATTGATGTAACCAAATCCTGCATCTTAAGACCAGGTCAGTCTGGTTCATAAATGTATCCAGCTAACCAGTAGTGCTGCTGTTTCAGACACAGCTTGCTCTGGGGTGTCCTTTGAGTGAACAGCCCTTAGTGCCAGGCCAGTGCAGCTGATTACTGGGAAGGGACACTGCTCCAGGGATCTGTCTACAGGGATCACTCCTGTGCAGCAGTTAGAGGAGTTTGGGCTCCTGGAATGCTAAAAGGAGCCTCCATGCTCCAGACAGAACTGGAATAGGAAGATATTCCTTGACAGTTGTGCATTTTTAAACCTGATGTGAAAATCCCCTGAAAGTAAACTGCTTATGCTAATAGACTTTGGATGCGTTTGAAAATTAAACTCACTGATAATCATTCACCATTAACATCACATAATGAACTCAACTATGAAAATAAGTAAACAAATACCCCCACTACTCCCAAAGTTCTCAATACTGTTATGTAAACCAGTAAACACTTTATAAAGCTGCTTACCAGTAATGGAAAAGCCAAGCTGATACATAGGTGTTTGATATCAGCTATTCAAGTGTGAAGTGCTGGAAACAAACTGGTAATCCCAGATCCATGCCTAATTTATTAATAAGGATTAAAGCAAAAAATATTTGCTATCTTTTGTTTTATCCTCTGTAAGTACATGTATGGATACATGTCTTTAAGCTAAAGAAAATTATTATCTCTCATCCACTACTTCATAGAATCCCAGATTGGTTTGGTTTGGAAGGGACCTTAAAGCTCATCCTGTTCCACCCCCTGCCATGGGCAGGGACACCTTCCACCAGCCCAGGTTGCTCCAAGCCCCCTCCAACCTGGTCTTGGACACTTCCAGGGATGGGACAGCCACAGCTTCTCTGGGTAACCTGTGCCAGGGCCTCCCCCCCCTCCCAGGGAACATATTCCATCTAACCCTGCCCTCTGTCAGTGGGAAGCCATTCCCCGTGTCCTGTCACTCCATCCCTTGTCAATGGTCTCTCTCCATCTTTCCTGGAGCCTCTTCAGGCTCTGCAAGGCCACAGTCAGGTCACCCCAAAGCTTCTCCTCTCCAGCTGAACAATCCCAGCTCTCTCCCCTTTCCTCCCAGCAGAGCTGCTCCATCCTCTGATCCTCTTGGTGCCTCATCTGGACTCTCTGCAGCAGCTCCATGTCCTTGCTGTGCTGTTCCCAGGGCTGGGGGCAGCTCTGCAGGGGGGTCTCCCCTGAGGGGCAGAGGGGCAGAATCCCCCCTGCCCTGCTGCCCACACTGGGGGATCAGCCCAGGGCACGGGGGGTGCTGGCTCCCAGTCCCTGTGACTCCCAGCACACACATCCAGGGAATGTCCTACTTGGGCTAAAAAAAATCCCTAAGCCCCTTTATAGTAATTGCTTCTGTTTTGAGTTATAAAGTCAAAGGACTCTATTCGAGTAGCAATGCCAAGCTGGTTCTTTAGGCTCCAATTCAAGCTGGAGCTGAAGGCCAAGAAGGTCTGCCTGGCTCCTCATGCCCCTCCTGTAGGTCCTGCTCTGCTCACTCATGCCATGGTTGCCAAAGCAGGGAGCCCTCTGACTCCCACAGCAGGAAAACTGGGAGAATAAATCCACAGGGTTCCACTGAAGTCTATGGAATTACTCAAATTCAAAACAGTTGCAGTTTGTCTTTTTACAAATTATTCTAAAAGGCAAGGTGCACAAGATCCTCTCAGGTTAGAGCTAAAATTTATAAAGCAAGTCCTTCTCTCTAGTGGAAAAATACCTCATAATCCTGCAAGCATGGAATAGAGATGTGAGAATAGCAATTGCTGCAGCTGCCTGGGCTGCTGCTCGAGTGAGCATCCCAAACTTCTGTGTGCAGCACTTGTAATCAGGCACTGGACAGAGAGTGACCTGTCACACTCATTTGCTGGGAATGTTTGTAATATTTTATTTTAAAAATCACAGTATTTATATATGCTCAAAATTATTGTTATTTCTGCTCATAGATCATATTCCTCAACTACAGCAAACAAATCTCAGAGGGCAGTTGACCCAACATTGTGCTGGTTTGGGCTGGGATAGAGTTAGTTTTCTTCCTGGTAGCTGGTCCAGTGCTGTGTTTTGGATTTAGTAAGAGAATTATGTTGATAACATACTGATGTTTTAGTTGTTGCTGAGTAATGTTTACACTGAGTCAGGGACCTTTCAGCTTCTCATGTCCTCCCTCCAGGAGGCACAAGAAGCTGGGAGTGGACACAGCTGGACAACTCACCCAAACTGGCCAAAAGGATCTCCCAAACCATTACAACATCAGGCTCAGCACATAAACTGGGGGCTGCTGCTCAGGAACTGGCTGGGCATATGTCTGTGACTGGTGAACAATTGCACTGTGCACTGATTGTTTTGTATGTTCTAATTATTTTGTCATTATTGTTATCATTCTTTCCTTCCTTTTCTGTCCCTATAAGGTGTCTTTATCTCAAGTTATGAGTTTTCTGACTTTTACTCTTCCAGAACTCTCCCCATCCCAGGGGATGAGAGGGGGACTGAGCAAGTGCCTGTGTGGTGCTGAGTTGCTGGCTGGGGTTAATCCACAGCAAACATCCATTATTGTTTGGAATCGCACAACATGTAATTTTGAAATGCCAAGTTTTCCTAAGAAATCTGTAAAAAAGCTACTTCCCATTTCCTTAAGCATAGTGGATGCCAGGTTTCACAGAATCATAGAATGATTGGATGAGACTCATCAGGACCATGGAGTCCAACCCCTGGCCCTGCACAGACATCCCAGCAATCCCACCCTGTCCCTCAGAGTGCTGTCCAAACCCTCCTGCAGCTCTGGCAGCCTTGGGGCTGTGCCCACTGCCCTGGGGAGCCTGTTCAGTGCCAACCACCCTCTGGGGGAAGAACCTTTCCCTGAGATCCACCCTGAGCCTGCCCTGACACAGCTCC